TATCCAAATCTTCAGTATCCTCATCAGTGTCCTCAGTGTTCTAGCTTGTATGACCATAGTTAATGGAGCGGAATGGTTGGGAAACCTACTGTTCTTTTTTTTTTGTTAGATAGATGAATTGATAGATGAAACTTTATTTTACCATGGTATAATCATCAGGATTTACAAAATGTTTAAAATAATCAACTAATCTACACTAAGTTTAATCTAATATAATAAAATAAAATAAAAAACCTGCTTTCCATGAATGCCGTGCTTTACTATACATAATAGGTTTCCAAAAGTCGATGAAATTCTTTGAGAGACTCTGCCTGCCTTAAGTTATTTGGCAGACTATTCCATAATTGCGCACTACTGTAGGTAAATGTGTTTTTGAGATAATTTGTGCGCGGAAGAGGAATGTTCAGTTTGTTGGCGGATTCTCGTAATGAATAGCAAGTGGTATCGCTCGTGAATACAAATTTAGAGCTAAGGTATTCAGGAGTGGTACCATGTAGGGCCTTGAAAACTAAGATGGCATTTTGTTTTTGTCGATGAACACTAAGGGTAGACCATCCCAGTTTTCCAATCAAAGCCCCGGCATCTACATCGTAATTAGAGAAGGTCAACACCCGTGCTGCACGATTCTGGAGCTTCTGTAGTTTATCTGAGAGAGTTTTTCCATAATTACCTCAAACGAAGTTACAATAGTCGAAATGGGACTGTACCAATGCTTTATAAATAATGTGTAATGTTGATAGTGGGACGAATGGCCTGATTCGCTTTAGGGCCCCAATACCTGAAGCATTTTTTGTTGGAAAGCTTTTCAATGTGATTTTTCCMGGTAAGATCGCTGTCTATGAATACACCGAGGGATATAGTTGTAATCACTTGGGTAATTGGTACTTCATTTAACTCGAGAACTGGTGTATAGCAGCAACGGTGTTGAGTTTAGAATTTAGAAGACAATTAGGTTGGTCATTTATGTACAACAAGAATAACAAAGGTCCCAGGATTGTTCCTTGTGGTACGCCGCATTTTAGGCTACATGGTTCAGATAATGAGCCATTGACTAGACATGGTCGACCGTGTCAAAGGCCTTTTTTAGATCTAGGAACACTACTGCATTTACATTGCCACGATCGATGTTATATGCCCAGCTATCAGTTGTCTCTATTAATGCCGTGACAGTAGAGTGTAACGAATAAAATCCAGATTGGTGTTTGGAGATTATATGATTTTCAGATAAAAATGAATATAACTGATCATATACTATCCTTTCAAACGCCTTCCAGTCGTTTGGTAAAACGCCATGCTTCAAAGAAACGTTCAAAATCTTACAAATTGAGAGAGAAATAAGGTCGACACATTCTCGAATGACTGGCAGATATCATATCCATACCTGTTGCTTTTCACGTGTTTAATTTATCTGGAAGAGAGAATACCCTACTTTCAGTAATAGGGCAGGCTAAACTGAAATTGATTTTCAGTGGCAATGAGATAGTGGAGATGACTCACACGACTTTCACCTTCTTCATCATTACATTGAGGAATCTCTTTAGTAAGTTTTGGTCCAATAGTTGCAAAATACTCATTAAATGCATTCGATAATGCGGAAGGTTTAATAGTTACAAGACCATCAAGTTTCAATTCCTTGACACCTGTATCCTTTGATTTACGAGACGTTTTTTCGTTTATGGTTTGCCAAGTCTTTCGAGAATTTCCTTTATAAAAGTATTTAAGGCATTCTTATAGTGGTGCTCTTTAGCACGTTTAATAACATTATTTACTTTGTTTCGCATTTCTTCATAGGCTTTCCAGTCATTTGGGTTCTTGGATTTTATCGCCGTGTCTTTTAACATGTCTCGGTGATACATGCTTYGTTTGAAATTAGAGGTAATCCATGGGGATTTCCTTGATCGTACTCGTTTTGTACGCATCGGAGCATGTCTTTCGACGATTTTTAAAAATTGATTTTTCCAAGAAACCCACATGATTTCAGGATCTTCAGAATTACCTAGAATGTCATTCCAGTCTACCGCAGAAATATCATTACAAAAGTTATCAGCATCAAAGTTTTTGTCATTTCGGTAGGTTATGTTTTTATGTTCTTTACTAGAGGAATCTGCTAATTTACGATAGACATGGTGCGATGACTATGGTCACTAATGCTTACGTGAGCAACTCCTAAACAAAGCACCCTGTCAGAATAGTTTGTGAATATTAGATCAATAATAGTTGAAGTTTGTTCAGTGATACGAGTGGGTTCGGTTATTAGTTGATGAAGATCGTAGATACTAGTAACATTTAATAACAATCGTGCGTTGTCATTGGGAGAGGCCACTGTTACAGTTCATATCGCTCATTAAATTAATGTTCGACTTTATCCATTCGGTTATATGACGTTGTCGGTGCACAGAGAAGGAAAAGTTGCTCCGTTTAATCATAGTATTCGTGAATATAGAAGTTTTTAACTCTAAAAAACGTTATAAAATACTTATTATTTGTTAATTAATCCTAAATGATTAATGCTAATTGTTTATTGAAAAGGAACTTGCCTTTTTTCACGCTTTTTTATTTATCATCTAGTAACTTAACTGTATCTGCGCGAAAATATTTATCCGCCGATAGTTTGTGGTCATCGAACGTGGGCTCTGGGTACGAGATTGGGACAATCGATTAGATACGGATTTTCCACTCGGTCGCCTTCGGATCTTGGATTTYGGATTCATAGGGGTTTTGAGATCATCTTCTATTTTAGATTGATAGAGGGTGACGTCATGATTATCATTCAAGGCAGGAGGGAATTTTTTCTCTCATCGTATTCAATTTGCGTGACAGCTCGATWTGTTATTCCTAATTTATTGTATGTCTACGGATTGTTTTTTTGTTCTCATTATCTTCTCATCTGCCTGATTGCCAGTTGGATTCACCTCAGTGCAACTGTCGCTGCGATATATGCAAATAATGAATAAACGTCATGCATCATGAGAAGTTTGATTATATTATATTTATTTCGATTTGTGAGAAATGTTTGACAATATTTTAGTCATACTCGAAATTTTCTATGTCGCCCAAAATCGTAAATTATGACCTCGATTCTGCAGTTTGCGGTTTCTCTGGTCGGGTAGAAGATCATGCAGACAATGATTATCATCAGACGTGAATTTGTTAAACTTGCTTTATTGTTCATCATATTATGTGTAACATAATTGTCGAGGTTCGCTGAATGCAGTAAATATTGACCACAAGTGTTTTTCACTCAAGTTTCTTTATTTTGCATTTTTTACAGTATAATCTAATAATGTTCCCAGTTGGCTAAAAAAGGAAAGTAGTTTTCCTCGTGGGTTGCCATTTCATCCATTTCTTCGCTCTCTTGTCGTGTTACGAGGAGTCTCAATTTCTTTGATTTTAATGACATCCGGTGAATCGAGTCGCAGTCATTACAGCAGTAAAACGTTTTCTTTGTGTTCTGTTGATTCGCAGGGAACACGCTCGTACAAACGTCGCACCGGACACCCTCGTTCATGTTCATTGAGTAGTGACCTTCGTGCCAATAACAAGTTGGGCACCGAACTATAAAGATCTTTGAAAACTGCCGGGGTTCTTGACAAACGTGAGACTTGTAATGCTCCAGTTCATCATAATCCAATTCCTCGTCCATACTCTCTCCTTCCTCTTCATCCTCCTCATCATCCTTGTCGTCTTCATCATCACCATCTTCATCATTAACACAATTTTCTTCCTCCTGTTCTTCTTCGTTTTCTTGGTCATCAGTTGACTGACTTTCAGTCTCACTCCGGCTCATCCGTGTCTTCATCTTCCGGTTGCGTAGCAACAAGATCTACCAAAAATCTCTGATTGCCAATGAGATGCTTGTTAATTCCAAGTTCTGCCAGTCCATTGGTAAACGTTTTTAAACCTCTAGGTGTTCTGACATCTGGGTTGTAAAGCATACTCAATTAGCTTCTTCATGCTGGTTAATGGAATTCTTCGTTGATGAAAAGTCATTTCTCCATGTGAATTCTAATACAAAATGTCCTTAGGAGCGGCCATGCTGTGAAGTAAATTTAGAGCCTTCTCCCTTGATAGTTTTTTAGGAAGCTGTTGTACCATCTTATCAATTTCATTATCCAAAGGTTCCTCCTCACTAGAGGTCTCGGAGTGTGATACTCAGTTCTTCCTCAGAATCCTCAACCCACTTTCTCTTCATGATGATCACCGAAGTCTTAACAAGGTGCAAATGAATTTCACGGGATTGCGAAGGGCTATTTATAACAGGAAAAGACTCAAACCCGACATCCACGGTGATGCAATATCTTCCACAAATCCGCCGCCCTTTTGAGCCAAAATTGTTTTCTTTGTTTTGAACGGTACTGCTGAGTCAGCTAACGCTCTGATGTCCTTAGCATGAGGTCTTAGTGCTTCTTTCTGAGAGTAAGAAAGTGGAATGCCTCCTTTTAATAGATTATGGTAGACCTCACACATTACATGGACTTGTTCCGGAGTGGYTGTTGCAAGCAAAACTTTCCTCTGGACATTTAGTCAAAAGATGCAAATAGCCAAAGTTATCACGAAGTAAGACAGACATGTTTTCTCTCGGGATGGTTTGTTCAAATG